GGAATGGCAGTGAAGCTGGTTAATATAAATCTTCTATTGAAATCCTATGTACCCCATTTCCTAACTCTATAAAAATACCCATAATCTTCCATGTTGTTTAAAGAAAGGGAAACAATGGACAAATAGCAAGGAAATAGCAATAATGAAAACCCTCTCAACCAAGGAGCAAGTAAACAGAAGCAGTATATCTACTAAATCTAAATGCCTCTACTCTTTTCTATTCTAGAACATTATAATCTTTTAAGCAAGCTGCCAAACTATGCCTGTGGCCTTTTCCTTTTTGACTTGATGTTTATGGTCATATCCTGAGCCAGAGCAATCATGAGCATTTCCAAAAAGGCTTGGACTTTTCCAGGGAGGCCTGATCACTATATGTTACATTTCCAAAAATTAATAGAAAGCCCAAAAACAGTAAGACAGAAAGAGGAAAGAGACATACGGGGTCCCTAGGATAACACTGAGGGGAAGAGTTGCCTTGGAGGTTCCTCTTTCATCCCATGACCTTATCACGGTCTGGGTACATCCCGGTGATTCTTGAGGGGACCTGTTGGGTCCCCGGGGCAGCCCCGTGTGAGGAAGAGCTGCCTTGCAGGTTCCTCTCTCGTCCCATGACCTTGTCACGGACTGGACGCATCCCAGTCCCATGAGCTTGTCACGGACTGGGCGCATCCCGGCAGCTCCCAGCACCACTCCAGTATTCTTGCTGTGAGAACTCCAAGAACAGTATGAAAAGGCAAAATATCATGGGGCACCTGTTTTAAACTGGGATCCTCTCTGAGGAAGTGACTTTTAGGTTGAGACCTGTTGGATGAGTAGGAGTTCATCACGCAGAGAAAGGAAGGGAACCCCCAGGCAGAGGGAGAGGCAGGTACAGAGGCTCTGAGGCAGGAATGACCAAGACATTGACAAAAATAGCAGAAGGCCAATGAGGAGGTGCTCTAGCGTGGCTGCCAAGGTAGGTAGTCACTTCGGTGGTGCCTGGGCCATCACAGGAAAGAGCTTGGTGAATGACAGCTTTTAGGTGGGGATTCATGAACATGATTAATTTATATAGAATGCTCTGTATACATTCCCTGGGGTTTCCCAGGTGGTGTAGGTGGCAAAGAATCCACCTGCAATGCAAAAGACTCAGGAGACTTGGGTTCAATCTCTGGGTCAGGAAGATCTGGAGGACCACGTGGCAACCCACTCCAGTGTTCTTGCTTGGAGAACCCCATGGACAGAGGAATCTGGCGGGCTGCAGTCCTTGGGGTTGCATAGAGTCAGACACAACTGAGCACACAGCAGCACAAATATACATTCCCTGGGCAGCACATCCTCTTTCACAGCTTTGGTTCCTCTGCTGATGCGTCCCAACTGAGCCAGGCCCTGGCTGAACTCCGGACATGTTTGTCCAACTGTACAGTGGACTGCTTGCTTGTAATAAGAGGCAAATGAACTGATGGATTTGTAAGCACCCTTCCAGCTCTTACTGGAGAGAGCTGATCATTGGTTTCTCCATTTGCAAGAGAAGGAACTGCATTGAAAGACTTTTGATGCCCTTGATCTGAGTTTGACACAGGCCTACAAGTGTCTGTCAGAAATGCCTACCTTTGTACCTAAAAAGAGAGGCTGAAAAACACTCACTTCATCCCTCATGGAGCTTGCAGCCTTGTGACAAGTGTTAGACCACTGAGTGAAAGTCACTCAGTTGTGTCTGACTCTTTGTGACCCCATGGACTATACAATCCGTGGAATCCTCTAGGCCAGAATACTGGAGTGGGTAGCCTTTCCCTTCTCCAGTGGATCTTCCCGACCCAGGAATCGTACCAGGGTCTCCTGCATTGCAGGCGGATTCTTCATCAACTGAGCTATCAGAGAAGCCCCTAGACCAGAGTCTGGGGATTTAAATTCTGGTTCCTAGTTTCAGACACTTAGCAGCTATATGTTGTTCAGTCACTAAGTCATGTCCGACTCTTTGTGACCCCATGGACTGCAGCACACCAAGCTTCCCTGTCCATCACCAACTTGCGGAGCTCGCTCAAACTCATGTCCATCGAGTTGGTGATGCCATCCAACCATCTCATCCTCTGTCGCACCCTTCTCCTCTTGCCTTCATTCTTTCTCAGCATCAGGGTCTTTTCCAAGGAGTCAGTTCTTTGCATTAGGTGGCCAAAGTATTGGAGTTTCAGCTTCAACGTCAGTCCTTCAATGAACACCCAGGACTGATCTCCTTTAGGATGGACTGGTTGGATCTCCTTGCAGTCCAGGGGACTCTCAAGAGTCTTCCCCAACACCATAGTTCAAAAACATCAATTTTTCGGTGCTCAGCTTTCTTTATAGTCCAACTCTCACATCCACACATGACTACTGGAAAAGCCATAGCTTTGACTAGGCTGACCTTTGTCAGCAAAGTAATGTCTCTGCTTTTTAATATGCTATCTAGGTTGGTCAGAGCTTTTCTTCCAAGGAACAAATATCTTTTAATTTCATGGCTGCAGTCACCATCTGCAGTGATTTTGGAGCCCAAGAAAATAAAGTCAGCCACTGTTTCCATTGTTTCCCCATCTATTTGCCTTGAAGTGATGGGACCATATGCCATTATCTTCATTTTTTTGAATGTTGAGTTTTAAGCCAGCTTTTTCACTCTCTTCTTTCACTTTCATCAGAGGCTCTTTAGTTCTTCACTTTCTGACATAGTGTGGTGTCATCTGCGTATCTGAGGTTATTGATATTTCTCCCAGAAATCTTGATTCCAGCTTGTGTTTCATCCAAAGGGGAAGGCTGGGAGAGATAAATTAGGAGTCTGGGATTAACATAGACACATTACTATATGTATTAAATAGATAACCAACAAGGATCCAGTGTATAGCACAGGGAACTGTACTTAATATTTTGTAATAACTTACAAGGGAAAAGAATTTGAGAAAGAATATATGTCTGAATCATTTTGCTGTACTCTTGAAACTAACACAACATTGTAAATTGACTGTACTCCAATTAAAAAAAGAAAAGGCATGTATCATCATGCATCCAAACCATAAGGGTAAAGTGTTATTTTGTGAAAGTTTGCTTCAGACATGTATGTCCATGATGGGCCATGATGTAAAAATGTATTTCTTGTTCTGGATTGTGGGTTTTTAAGTTTGAAAGTACTGCTTTACTGTATGTTCGGGAATGCAAAATTATATCGTGTTTGTGTGTGTGTGTACTGTCATGTCTGACTCTTTGCATCCCCATGGACTGTAGCCCACCAGGCTCTTCAGTCCATGGGATTCTGCAGGCAAGAATACTGGAGTGGGTTGCCATTTCCTTCTCTAGGGGAATCTTCCCAACCCAGGGGTTGAGCCGATGTCTTCTGTCTCCTGCATTGGCAGGCACGTCCTTTCCAGTTGAGCCACCAGAGAAGCCCAGTATCATAATGAGACGTCAAAGGGCAAGGAGGGGGAGGAGGGCTGGAGGAGAGCTGTGTGGTCTGTAGGGTGACGGTAATGACTGGGACAGAGTCGATGCAGGAGGAGATCACTGCCAAGGAGGAAGGTTCGAAGGGGAAGTGGCAGGGCCGCTGATTCCTCAGGGGATGTGCTTAGTGAGACGGGCTGGGGAGAGGAGCCGTGACTGGGAGCACAGTGCGAACAGAACTGCCCTGACTCTTCTTGAAAGGCAGTCCTGCTACTAGATTGAGGCTAATCTCGGGGCCTCAGAGTTTTGTGGGCTTGTCATTGTAGTTGTTTGTTTCCTCCTTTGCCATTTTGCTTTCTCTTTTCCTGCGTGCGTGCGTGCTCAGTCGCAAAGTCATTTCCAACTATTTGTGACCCCATGAACTGTTGCATGCCAGGCTCCTCTGTTCATGGAATTATCCCGGCGAGAAAACTGGAGTGGGTTGCCATTTCCTCCTCCAGGGATCTTCCCAACCCAGAGATCAAACCCTGGTCTCCTGTGTCTCCTGCATTGGTCGGCAGCTTCTTTACCCCTGAGCCACCTGGGAAGTCCTCTCTTTTCCTAGATCTCTTATTATTCAGATGTTGGATCTCTTGGCTTGATCCTTTTCCTTTTCTATTTTCTACATCTTTGCCTTTTTACTTGATTTTCGAGAATATTTCCTTCAATTTTATCTTCCAACCTTTCTGCCAAATTTTTCCTCCTCTGCTATATTTTTAATTTCCCAGAGCTCTTTGATCTCAGACCATTCTGTTTTTACAGCATTCTGGGGCTGTTCTGGGTGGTTTGGGGTGTAACATGTGTTATTTCTCTGAGAATGTTGATTATATGAGGTTGTTTCATGTTCTTGATAAGGCATGATGTAAAAATATTTCTTGTTATGGATTGTGATTTTCTTTTTAAGTTTGAAGGCACAACTTTACAATGTGGCAAAGGGTGAAACAAACCAATACAACGGCAATCACACAAGACTCGGAGACCCCAAGACTAGCCTCAGTCTAGTAGCAGGGCTGTAATTCAGGAAGAATCAGAGTAATTCAGTTCACACTGTACTCCCAGACGTGACTCTCTTCCCAGTCCGTCTCACTAAGCAACACCCCCGTGCCCCTGAGAAATCAGCTGCCCTGTCACTTCCTCCCAAATCCTTCCTCCTTGGCAGCAATCCCTTCTCTGCTGTCTCTAGGTCTGTAAGAACTCTCAGAGTCTATTTCTTATGGTCCTTCATACTCCGGCCTGTCTCTTCCACTGTCACCAGAGTTAGGCTCATAATGTAAAGCTCCTTAGCAGTTTGGACCTCTTGTAATTGGACTTTTACTGCTTGTAGGGGCTTCCCTGCTGGCTCAGATGGTAAAGAATCTGCCTGCAATGTGGGAGACCTAGGATCGATCTCTGAGTCAGGAAGATCCCCTGGAGAAAGGAATGGCTACCCACACCAGTTTTCTTGTCTGGAGAATTCCCTGGACAGAGGCTACAGTCCACTGGGTCACAAAGAGTCAGACACGACTGAGCGACTAACACTTTCAGAGTCCTCACAGGTTGCTCCCTCACAGCTGTATCTTCTGTATCTTCTCTGCCTCCAGGGAGATGTCTCCTACGAGGAGAGGGCCTGTGAAGGCGGGAAGTTTGCCACAGTGGAAGTGACAGATAAGCCTGTGGATGAGGCTCTGAGGGAGGCAATGCCGAAAGTCATGAAGTATGTGGGAGGCTCCAATGATAAGGGTGAGTGTCGCTGAAGGATGGGCTCTGGTCACCTGGGCCAGGGCTGCAGTCTCACGTCATCGATGGAAAACACAGGAAGGGACCCCACGATGCCTGTCACCACCTGTTTGAGTGAAGTGAGACCTTGCTATACTGTGTGGGCAGGGAGGCTCTGGGGAGACCCCCTGACTTCATGCCCGCTCAGTAGCCCTGAGTTCATGCCTCTCTCCCCGGTATGAAGACACACGTTTGTTTGTTCGTTTGTTATTTTTTAACCTTACAGTGCTTATCTTTGGATTGGTGGACTGGGTAAGGTGTGTCCGTGGTAAGCCAGGCCACAGAACAAAGCCAACCTCTGACTTGAGACCTCTGCTCCCAGGCTGAAAATCTCAAGAGTCAGCCCCCTTGTCGCTCAGATTCTATGGGGTTCTGAAGATCAGTGAGTGATGAGTGTGGCTGGTCCCCAGCTCTGTTCTGGCAAATCAGGAGCCTGAGAATTCTTAGTCCCCTTCTTAAACACTTGGCAGTCCATGGGGATCCCCCTGGCAGTCCAGTGGTTAGTACCAGTGCTCTCACTGCTGGGGTCCAAGGTTTGATCCCTGGGCAGGGAACTAAGATCCTGCAAGCCATGTGGCACGGTCTAATAATAATAATAATAATAATAATAAGACTTGGTAGTCCATGCTGGCTGTCTCCCTGTTTTTGTGATAAAATGAGAGGCCTGAAGTTTCAGGGTACCTGTTTGCATGTAAACCATATTTAAATAGGACTTTGACATTTAAGGGCTTCCTTTGTGGCTCAGCTGGGAAAGAATCCACCCGCAATGTAGGAGACCGAGGTTCGATCCCTGGGTTGGGAAGATCCCCTGGAGAAGGAAAAGGCTACCCACTCCAGTATTCTGGCCTGGAGAATTCCATGGACTGTATAGTCCATGGGGTCACAAAGAGTCGGACACGACTGAGTGACTTTCTTAAGCTCTCTAACTTTGTCTGCACTTTAAAATCAGTACAAACCCAAAATGGTTCAGAATACAAGATGAAAAAAAATGTATTTCATATTTAGGATATATCTCAAGTTGGTAAATGAGAAAGAAGCTCATATCAAGCTTAGTAATATTTGCTAGAACCAAAGAAATCAGGCTTTGAACATAAGTCGACCAATAGGAGGTCACAAAGAAGTCTTTCCCTTCTTAGCACTGTCATAAATTTTCTTCAGAAGAACATATGTGTAAAAATTATAAACTCATCAAACATTTTTGAAAACAAAACAGCACCCCAGTCCATCTTTTCTAATGTAATCATTGTCATCTTTGAATGTATCTTTAGGGCTTTTTAATAGGTTTTTAAAATGTAATCATAATAGCATCTTCCCTGGTGGCTCAGATGGTAAAGGATCTGCCCACAATGCAGGAGACCCAGGTTCAGTCCCTGGGTCGGGAAGGTCCCCTGGAGTAGGAAATAGCAACCCACTCCAGTATGCTTGTCTGGAGAATTCCATAGACAGAGGAGCCTGATGGGCTACAGTTCATGGGGTTGCAAAGAGTCGGGCATGACTGAGCGAGTCACACACAATATGTAATCATAGTGTTTGTGCAATATATCCTGTTTCTGTTCCTTATTTCATAATTATTTTCCATTGTAGCTCACTAGTCCTAAGCATGACTATTCATAGCTAAATTGTATTGCATCATGTGCCTATAATTTACTTAGACATATTCCTCTTTTGAACATTTATATAAATCCCAATTTTTCACAATTATGAATTCTGCTGCAAGGAAAATCCTATTCCCTAAATAGCCTTTTTCATATTTTAGATTATTTCATTAAAATCAACAATTATGACTTCTCTGGTAGTATAGTGGTTAAGAATCCGCTTCCGCTTGCCAGTGCAGGCAAGTGGGGTGCCGTGGGGCAACTAAGCCCATGCACCACAGCTACTGCAGCTCGTGTGCCCAGAGCCTAGGCTCTGCAACAGAGAAAGCCCATGCACAGCAGTGAAGACCCAACACAGCCAAAAATGAAAAATTAAATAAAATTTTAAAATATATAAAATCAGCAATTAGACAGGAAGTACTCTGTTGTTGTTTAGATGCTAAGTTGTGTCCGACTCTTTTGCGACCCCATGGACTGTAGCCCACCAGGCTCCTCTGTCCATGGAATTTCCCAGGCAAGAATATTGGATTGGTGTAAAGTAATTAGCCTCCAACTAATAAAAATAAATGGGAAAAAAAAAAAGAATATTGGATTGGGCTGCCAGGGTATCTTCTCCAGGGTATCTTCCCGACCCAGGGGTCAAACGTGCATCTCCTGCATTGGCAGGTGGATTCTTTACCACTGTACCATCTGGGAAGTAATTAGACACTGATATATTTATAGTCTTGATATATATTGCTAAATAATTTTTTCCAGACAAGTTTGAATCACTACCTCTAGTATGTACAATTAAGAGTCACTTTATATGTATGTGATGATACACACTAATGCCTGAAATGCCTATTATAAATTTCAAGAACTGCAAATATTGTCTTGAAGGAAGAATGAGACCAGCAGATGGTCCATGGGCCTGAGCAGGTTCTGTCTCTAACACCCATGTCTTTCTGTGGGCTTTTATGTTTTCAGGACTCGGAATGGGGATGACAGTTCCTATTTCCTTTGCTGTGTTCCCCAGTGACAATGGGGACCTACAGAAGAAATTAAAAGTCTGGTTCCGGATTCCAAACAAGTTTCAAAGTGACCCGCCAGCTCCCAGCGATAGCAGCATTAAGATCGAAGACAGGGAAGGCATCACTGTCTATTCCACGTAAGGAGACAATTCTTTGGGCATCCAAGGGTAGCACTTGATTTTCATAATCACTTCTTGAATCATCTACCATGAACATTTGCATTTAAATTATTTTTTTTCCAGTTTTGAGCTGTAATTGATATGTAATGTTTCATTAAAGTGTACAACATAATGCTTTGATTACATAGTTATGAAATGATTACCAATGGAAGTTAGCATCTTTCATTTGACAAAATTCCAAATCTTTTCCTGAGATGAGAAATTTTAACTCTCTTAGTAACTTTCAAATATGTAGTTCAACATACAGTGTTGTTAACTGTAGTCACTTTGCTGTACCTTACATCCCCAAAACAGATTTATCTTATAGCAGGATGTTTCTACCTTTTGACCACCTTTACCCATATCTCCCACCCCCTCACCTCCCCACCCTATGGCAATCACCAGTCTGTTCTGTATCTGTGAGTTCAGATTTTTTTTTAATTCCACATATAAGTGAGATAATACAGTATTCCCCTATCTCTGTCTGTCCTATTTCATTTCGCATGATGCCTTCAAAGTTAATCCATGTCATCACACATGGCAAGTTTTCCTTCTTTTTATGGCTGAATAATATTTCATTGTACATATATTCCACATCTTCTTTATCCATTTATCTGTTTGTGGACTCTTAGGTTATTTCTACATCTTAGCTATTGGTAAATTGGTGCTCCTGTGAACATAGGGGTGCCTCTATCTCTTCAAGTTAGTGGTTTCATTTCCTTCAGATATATACCCAGAAGTGGAATTGCTGGATCATGTGGTTTTTATTTTTTATTTTTTTGAGGAACTTCCATACTGTTTTCCATAATGGCTGCACAATTTACATTCCCACCAGCTTTACACAAGGATTCCCTTTTCTCCACACTTGTTACTTCTTGTCTTTTTCATAGTAGCCATTCTAACAAGTGTGAAGTGACATTTCCTTGTGGCTTTGATTTGCATTTCCCTGCTGACTAGTGATGTTGAACACCTGATTATATACCTTTTGCCCATTTGTATGTCTTCTTTGGAAAAATGGCTGTTCAGATCCTCTGCCCATTTTTTTAATTAGATTGTTTGGAGTTTTTTAGTCTCAAGTTATAGGAGTTTTTAATATATATTACATATATATGATTTGCAAATAGTTTCTCCCATTTAACAGTTTGCCTTTTTCCTTTGCTGTGCAGAAAGCTTTTTAGTTTGAAGTAGTCTCACTTGTTTAGTTTTGCTTTTGTTGCCTGTGTTTTTGGTGTCCAATACAAAAAAAAAATTTCATTGTCAAGACTAGTGTCAAGGAGGCTACCCTCTATGGTTTCTTCTAGGAATTTTACAGTTTCAGGTCTTACGTTCAAGTCTTTTATCCACTTTGAGTTAATTTTTGTGTATGGTGTAGAATAGTGGTCCAGGGACTTGCCTGGTGGTCCATGCTCTCGATGCTTCCATTGCAGGGAATATGGGTTTGATCCCTAGTAGGGGAGCTAAGATTCCACATGCCACGCAGTGTGGGCAAAAGTTTAAGAAACAAAAAAAGACAGTGGTCCATTTTCAGTATTTTGTATTTGACTGTCCAGTTTTCCCAACACCATTTATTAAAGACACTGTCCTTTCCCCGTTGTACATTCTCAGCTCTTTTGTTAAAAATTAATTGACCATATACGCATGGGTTTATTTTGGGGCGTTCTATTCTGGTCCGTTGATCTATGCATCTGTTTTTATGTCAGTATCATACTGTTTTGATTATGAGAGCTCTGTAATATAGCTTGAAAGCAGGAAATGTTATGCCTTCAGCTTTGTTCTTCTTTCTGCAGATTGAGGGTCTTTTGTGGTTCCATACAAATTTTTTTTCTATTTCTGTTTAAAAAAAAATTTCCATTGAAATTTTGATAGGGATTGCATTTAATCTGTAGATTGCTTTCAGTAGTATGGACACTTGAACAATATTAGTCCTAATCCATGAGCCTTCTGTCTTCACCAGATTTTCAGATTAATGTTTTATAGTTTTGCGTGTAAAAATCTTTCACTTCCTTGGTGAAATTTATTCCTGGGTATTTTGTTCTTTTTGATGCAGTTGTAAATGGGATTGTTTCTTAAGTTCTCTTTCTAAACTCATATTATTGATGAATTAAGTAAGAAACGCTGAGTACTAACAGTTTCTCTCAGAGTTTCTTCGGCCTATAGGACACAAACATTTGCATTGTATCTAAGTAAACGCCTTTATGTGCTGTGTGTGTGCGCTCAGTTGCTCAGTTGTGTCTGACTCTTTATAACCCCATGGAATATAGCCCACGAGGCTCCTCTGTGCATGGAATTTCCCAGGCAAAGAATACTGGAGTGGGTTGCCATTTTCTTCTCCAGGGGATCTTCCTGACCCAGGGATCAAACCCATGTTTCTTGTGTCTCCTGCATCAGCAGGCAGATTCTTTACCACTGTGCCACCTGGGAAGCCCAAGTAAATGCCTTTGCCTGTTGTCAAATTGATTTGGATATAGAGAATATCCTCCCAACCCCAGCTTCAGCTGGACACCTACATTAGCCACAGCAGAATTCTGGAAGAATCAGAATATCTAGGTCAATCTGTAGTTTGCAGTCATGAATACCTGGGGAGCATAAAGGGCTAGAGATATCTCTAGCCCCCCTTGAATTCCCCACATTCCCCTTGAATGCCAGAAGGGCAGGGAGTAGTTATTCATGGTCTGTGGGCTTTTAGCAAGACACACATGCATCCTATTGTTCTAGTCCTGTCTCCAGGGCCTCACGTGGGGTCCAGGTCCCTTGACTGTAGAGAGCAACAGGTGCACGTGTTTTCATCATTTTATTCTTTAGGCCTCAGCCTCTCCTAAGAAGTCAAGTCTCTTCTGGATAATCAGGGACTTCCCATTTGTTAAAATCCTCTTGTGTGACAGGCGTGAAACCATGGAGAGATGAGCGAGACCAGAAGCTTCACCAGGGTTCTGCTCTAGAACAACCTCATGAAAAATATACAAATAATCTGCCACTGGACAGTTTTTGTCCGCTCCTGGGGTCTCCAAACTTAGTTACTTTTATCTGCACTGCTCCAGCTCCACCCACAAGGATGCAGCTTTCAACACTGCTGCTGCTGCGGCTGCTAAGTCGCTTCAGTCGTGTCCGACTCTGTGCGACCCCATGGATGGCAGCCCATCAGGCTCCCCCGTCCCTGGGATCCTCCAGGCAAGAATATTGGAGTGGGTTCCCATTTCCCTCTGCAATGCATGAAAGTGAAAGGAGAAAGTGAAGTCGCTCAGTCGTGTCTGACTCGTTGCGACCCCATGGACTGCAGCCTACCAGGCTCCTCCATACACTAATGCTGACAGTGTAAGCTTGGCTGCCCTGGGCAGTCCTAGACTGGGTGACTCAGAGCCCCCCAGAGGACGCTGTGTGCACTGCAGCTGGACGGCTGGAACTGGAGCCTCCAACTCCCACTGCAGTCCTCATTCAGACTTTCCAGCCTTCACTGCAGAGGCTGCAGAGAAAGCAAATTCTACTTGAAGCATGTCAAGACTGTCTTTTCACAGGGCAGGGAGTAAGGTAGGGAGGCGGGGTGCCTGTTGTGCAAAATTTAGGGAAGCGCTCACTCCACCATTGTCTAGTACATATAGGGTAGGCCCTGAGAGTGAAAGAAAAGTGAAAGTGTTTTTCACTCAGTCGTGTCTGACTCTTTGTGAACCCATGGACTGTAGCTCTCCAGGCTCCTCTGTCCATAGGATTTCCCAGGCAAGAATACTGGAGTGGGTTGCCATTTCCTACTCCAGTAAGAGAACCTTCCCTCATCTACTGTTTGGTTTCCCTAAGACAAAGTCACAGCGGGAAGGCCAGATACCTTCTCTTTAGCTTGATGCCTTCTCTTTATCAGTTTCCAAAATAATGACTTCTTTTCTTAACATCCTCCAAAGGGGAGATAGTGTTGATCTCTGTTTTCTGAGTATCAATATAAATATATGAATTCAAACATAATTGATGTGTTTCAATTGTTTTCAGTTATTATTCTCATTGATGCTCAAATTGTCCCATCTTTGGCCAGTGAGAGCCTCTTCACTGGCCATGGTCAGTTGATTGGTTGGTCCTTTTGGTTTCTTGGTCCTTTTGACATGACCCTGGTAATCTCCAGCAGCTTCCTTGGTTATTGCTAGGACAAGATATTTTAAGCACATCTTAACATTTCTTGCTCTAGAGCTGAAATGAGCCATTTCGCCAAGGAACCCTGCTACCCTATGGTGGAAAAGGGACTCTCTTTAAAAGGTACTTTTCAAGCCAGGTCTGTGGAAATTTCCTTTACTGCAATTTAAAGGAACTTCTCTCTTCTCCTAAACAGAGGAGAGTGTCTAGCATAACTTGGTGAATTTTTTTTAACCTGTTGTTATCTCTGATAGGCTTTCTTGGATTTCAGTCCCTGGGTCAGGAAGATCTCCTGAAGAAGGGAATGGCACCCCCACTGCAGTATTTTTGCCTGGAAAATCCCATGGACAGAGGAACCTGGCAGGCTACAGTCCATGGGGTCGCAAAGAGTCGAACCCGGCTGAGCAACTAACACTTTGACTTTATCGTTGATGCTTTTAGTATCTGATCATTCCTCCACCTGCCACTTGGTGTCACTGCATAGTCAAGTGTGCATTTAAAAGTACCCTTCTGTGGAAGGCAGTTAATGACATAGCCGAAGGTACAAGTCCTGTTTTACATACACATGGGTGCCTACTCACTTCAGTCATGTCAGATTTTTTGCGACCCTGTGAACTATAGCCTGCCAGGCTTCTCTGTCCATGGGATTCTCCAGGCAAGAATACTGAAGTGGATTGCCATGCCCTCATGGGAGGGATCGAACCTGCGTCTCCTTCAGCTCCTGCATTGGGCAGGCGGGTTCTATACCACTAGTGCCACCCAGGACACCCTTCAAATACACAGTGCATCCTTAACTCAGTTTTCCTGTTTTGTGACCTTGTGATGTCCATTGATTAGTAGTAGGTACTGCAGATGCTTTTTAAATG